CCGCGTCTCAACTCATAAAGAAATATGACCATTGCTACTGGGAAAATTATCCTAACTGTTTCGCATTTTCTCAAACAATATGAAAAATTACTTAGTTATATTCAGATTTATTTTACACTGCATCACCTATCTACACCTTATTCACAATTTGTGCGTACTCCCACTATTGAACTAACTCAGTAACACGTCTATGATGGGAAGTGGTCCTTGTCTAAATAAACTTAAGTTACTGACTGACCGAATTTGAGAATACTTTCACCGAATGCGATTCCTGATATAGCTCTTATAAAATCGTGTTTGTCACTCAAAGTGGCCTCGTTTAACGCTTGCATACTAATGCAGATAGAATAAAATATAAATTTGACTATATCCTTGGGAAGTCTTGACATCGATGTATTCTGTATCTGAAAGACCTGTATTCAAGACTCCATCGAAGTACTACATATTTGTTCTCAATTTGTCACTTAGAAGTAAGTATTCTCGTACTGGTATATAAGTGTGTAAGTCTGACGTTTGTTTTGGAGTATCCATATGGACTGTAACTATGTCATTTTGTGGATCAGGCCTATTTATTATTCAGTGGTCACCAAACATCTTGTTGTAAATGGATTGGTGTAACGAAATATTGGACGGAGTTAGGTTTATTTAATTCTAGCTATCAGTCCACTGAAAAGTGTAGGTGAGCGTCGATTGCGTTTTCACGTCATTAAATCGCGGTGTAGGGTAAATTTTTTTGTGTGTTTGCAACAAATCTCTCCTAGAAACATTGTGTTTCTGCGACTATTTGAGACATCGTGGTCTACTCCAGCCAACCGTGAGCTTGATGATTCGGGGAATTGTAAGAAAATCTTCGTAAGAATTGACAAATAGGATGGCCAGAATGTGCCAACGAGTCAGAAAAAGCGACTGCATCTGGTAAATGCTAGAACTTGTTTTAACTCATACGGGGCATTAGGTGTAAGTAGTCTGGTTTGAGTGAAGCAATCTGTACAGTTAATGGGATTCGGTAGAAGACTGACCGAGATGGAGCACGGTGATTTTCGTTTAAATGGTGAATGTGTCGATCATAACGTTCCAATTCGCCAAGTATTAAAACATCGTCACACTTATTTCAGGCCAACGACCGTGGTGTCTTTTGCTATCAAGGCTACCTTCGATTCATTGGACAGAATCGTGCTCCGACACCGTCTGTTGAAAAAGGGTTTATGTTGGATTCTCATATTCCCAAGTTACAATCAATTTTTATTTAAAACATTTGTCTCATTGAACAGAGAGTCGACTGAAAGTGACTAAGTGGTGAGGCTGAGCGATGCTTGATATGAGGTAATCGAAGTTTGATTCTTCTAAAATATTGTGACCAAATTTATTGGGAACCTCATTTGTAGATAATGGATCATCAAGGTAATCAGCATCTATCAAAATTGTATTAAGTTTCTGATTATCATTTTATGCATCTGACGTATTTTCTGGTAAAAGGGAATCTCGATAATTAGATTCGTCAAAAACTGTCGCCGAATGATGAGATCCATTTGGAGCAGCTACATTCAGTGTACTGCTCGATTTGTTTTCTGTTTCATGGGCGGTTACTGCGACAATTCTATGACCATTTAATAGGGCGTCTATTTGTGAGCTGGATAAGTCACTGTCTGCACATGCTGTTTCGGGGATAATGGAGTTTGAACCCCTTACCGGGCATGTTTCTGGAATGGAGAGTACTGGACCACCGGGAGGAACTTGAGTGACTGCTGTATCGTTTGAAATACGGTTTGGCGAGAATTCATGCAGGCTGCAATCATTTTCCAGCTCAGTGTGCAATTGAGAAATTAATTCGTCCACTTCCGTTGCATATTCACAGCATGAGTGATTCAGCAGCTGCGTGCGTAATTTGACTAAGAACCCCAACAGTCGCTCAAATAGCAGCTGTAATCGATCGGATGAGAGAGTCATTTTTTAAAATCAACACCGACAATGAAAATTACTGTATGAATAATGACCAATGCCGTCCAAAGACACTGATGACAAATCTGGCTGCTGATTACTCGAAATAATTAGACTGAGTTTCGTCCAATTACAGGCTAACTTTGGATCGTTTTTTACCCCGTCGCCACTTATTATGGCCCAAAGCCTCCAATCAGAGTGCAGCGAAATTACCGATCGAACCAATGACGCACAAAATAAGTACGAGCAGTCTAGACTCTTTATCGGTCCTACTTCCCATCTAGCCCAGCCTGTTAAGTCCAGAACACCAATCTCAGTCTCTGCGATATAAATCATGTATTTCAAACATACTGGGTTTATATACCAATCAAATAGACCACATTGCACCATAAAATAGAAAATAACATTTGTACAAAATTTGGCCAAATAATGTGGCTGTGAATGTGGGAGGCAGTGACTAATAGACAGGGCATAATTCAAGAATAGTAAAACGTATAATAATGGTTCATAGGTCAAAATAAAGCTTATAATAAGAGAAACATGAATATGAATAGTTTACTCACTTAACAATTACGCAACAAAAATATATGTTAGGTATTGTTCCATAAAAGGATCCTAAAGTTACCATCCATTATGTTTATCGGGACCTAACAGTTTACTCAAGAAGTTAATGAAAATTTCGAAGGTTCTTCATAAAAGCATTTCAGGGAGGATGAGGGTATGCAACCATCTCTCTTCGTTGTTGTAAGTGGAGTGTAACAAATGAAATCAATCTATGTATACTGAAATACGGAACCGTTTGTGCCATTTTTGGCCACCTTTCGCGTTGTCATGATGTTTGTCTAGCTGTAAAGACTCGAGTTTACAACCCGTCAGCGAGAGAAGTTTAGTTCAATGTTTTTATGAAACCTGATCTCCGAGTAGAAAGTGGTCCGCAACTCTTGATGTTTGGTCAACGTCGTCCCCCAAGGATTGTCTACATCCAACTGCAACACCATGGTAACAATACTGATGTTCGGTAATGTGTATTCAGGCATTTAGTGTGACCATCTTGAAACATCGACTTCGGTGACTTGGTCACATGGTCCCAAAGTTTTCCACACTGTACATTATTTGTGAAGTCTAGGATTGGATGAGAAGAGCATATAGGTGTCCAGTTTTTGTATGCATGATATGGTGACATGGTATAAAGAATAGTTGTGCAGGACTAACATTTGTCAGTCAGTTGATTGCACGATTTCATCTTATAATTCTTTACAGCCTTATAGCTGTATTTTGTGTAGGGCATGATTTTCTGTGCATTATTCTATACACTGTATATTATGTATTACTTTTTAATCGATCGATTTAGTTTCATTTTATAATACGAACATTTACACTTGAGGTTCATATCCAATAATCTGAAATACTTTCTAGTTTTCACCATTTGCTACAACTCAACTCTACTAAAATATTAGTAGTTATAAGTATGTATAAAGACTAATAAATGTCGTTTATTCTTTATTAATGTACTAATATGCTGTAAATCTATTAATTTAGTCATGTGACTATCAATAATATACTACTGTTTTACTTTAGATTTATATCAAGGTCTATTTAATCTTATATATATAATTAGTCACTGTTGTCAATGCAGACTTTCTTCTCAAGAAACTATTTGACTGTTTTTTTCTTTGATCGATGTAATTTTATGGTATGATTAGGTATTTGCACAATGCTAGTAGTATTTTGTGTTCAGCACAACTATCAATGCAATGCAGTAGTTGACCATTTGTGCTCCATTGTATTCATCTAATAAGGTATACTTTTATATATAAATCTATTGTACTCATTAAAGTTTAACTTTTTTTGTGTATCTATTTGTATCACTGTTGAGTTACGCCCCTACATTGGTTGGTTGTAGTAGTAGTAGTAGTAATGTTATTGTGAATAAGTAGTATTTGTTGTAGTTATCTTGTTAAGAAAAGAAGAAATGATTAAAGATTATTATAATTTTTGGTGACAAGTTTAAAAGCAAGTAATGTAATTACTCCTTCACTAATAGCTTTTGTGTGTCAAACAAGAACAAACTGATTAACAAATGTTTATCTATTTTACTCTCATGACAGTACATTTATTGCCAAAATGGAATAAGCGCAAAGAATGCGCAATAAGATATTCCTGTCGTTTTAAATAGCATAAATATTTATCTCTTTATCTATAAATGAGTAAACACAAATTCTCTCTGTGTATATATATATTCATCGATTTATTTAGGTCATACAAGGCACTCTTAATAAAGTCGTCTTCCACTACTACTGACAATGTTTTCAGTTGAAAATAAATATAAGATGGATTATCGTCTACCTTACTGTATGTATTTTAGATAATAACGATGTGCGCTCTTAATAGGACTCATTCACCAGGTGGATATAAGTCCGTTTATTTAGTTTCAAAATATATTTTATTTTTGTAGAATCTTAGTAATCCTACTACTCTTTCCAAACAGAAGTAGGTAGAGTAATGAAGTTCAATATTTTAAACCTATTGATTCAGAGCCGAATACATGAACCACTGCTCCAAATTTTTGTCAAGAACCTAGACATTTTATTCGTAAAACATTTTATAAAGCATATATGTGTCTGACCGCTGCTTTCGATTGTAATCGCCAGATTACGGTGGTCGATCTTTTATATATATATATATATATATATATATATATATATATATACTGCTTCGTAATTTCCTTTGTTATTGTCATTTTGTTTCACACTCACGACATATCACTCAATCAAATGCTGAGAGTGTGGATCATTAAATCCCTGCTCTGTAATAATTTTTTTTGGTATTTTGTGTTCTTCGAGCTGGTTCATTTGATTGCGAACCTTTCACTTTATTTCTGAGCATAATCAGGGTTTACTTCACGTAAAGTCGACGTTTTAGTCAATACATAATTATCTACCCTGATAATTTTATCGGCAATTTGTTGTTTTCAATGGTTTTATCATCCGTTTACCTTTGCATTCCTGTTGATCAGTTTGTTTTGTTGACCCTTGATTCTTTGATGTTTTACGCTTAACCAGGTGATTGATCTCCATATATCTGTGCTTACTGAACAAACAATGGCCTGATGTAACGCATCCAAAAATCTCCCTAATCCACGATTTTAACGTTTGTCTAATCGAATTCACATCTGTTATTAACATTGGGATAACAGCTCGTATCGTTTTACTAACAATTTGTGTTCATGTATGTCTAAACGGAGGAGGTTTCTATTTTGACCAATAATATTTTTAATCTATGTAAAATGCAATAAAGCATTTCTGTTTGTTTATGATATGATGGAATATCTTCGGTTCCTTCTAAACCTTTTGCAACTTCCTCGAGTTCACCCGTGGTCCGTCGTCACACCTCCCCCATTTAAAGTCTGCTGTGTAAGACTTTTCTCGGACTCACCTGAAACTTGGTTGCCGCATTCCTCTTGCTGTCCATCGCTCTCGAGGGTTGTATTGCTTTGCCCTTGCGTCGTTTGTCTCTTCTATGTTTGCACTCCTGTGGGCTTTTCTGAGATGCATCCACGAGCAATTGAAATGAGAGTCTTCTTTCTGGGACCACTGTACTCCCATTTCTTTGCATTTGATTTATATGTCTTATACATTTTCCGACACCTTTCCGGACTAGGTACAGTACATTTCCGATTCGACGTTCTGTGACACGTGGTTCCCATTTCCTATTACCTTGATACCATTTGACAAGTACCTTTTCACCCACTTGGAAGCTGCGAGTGACCGTACGATATTCATTCGTGTGTTTATTTGTCTTTCTGGGCGGCAACATACTGTTAAAAACCGTCCTGATTTTCCTTCCGAACATAAACTCGGCTGGCAACTTTCCTTCTGGTACTGTCGGATTAGAGGTAACTCTTTACGACATTAGGAAATTACTGATCACTTTTTCTGGGATACCCTCTCCTCCCCCTTTGACCAGAGGTCTTTTTATTGTATCCACGAATCTTCCTGCTTGGCCATTCGACTGAGGATGGTACGGAGGAGATTGTAGATGCGATATGCCATTTTCACTGCAAAAGCGGATGACATAAACTGAGTACCGTTTTCGGTCACTAAGATCTCCGGAACCCCGAAACAAGCAATCAATTTTGACAATCTTCTTATTGTACTCTCTGATGTTGTTTTCAGCACGTCATATACTTCTGGCCATTTTTTGGAAGCATCGACAACAACTAAGTAATTTCTGCCTTGTATTGGTCCTGTGGAATCAGCGTGTATTCTTTGCCAAGGCCCGTCCGGTTTTGGCCATGGTTGTGGTTCAGCTTTCCTTGGATTCTTCGCAGCCTCTGGACAGGACCAACAACTGCGACATTTTTGTTCTATATCATGGTCCATTGACGGCCAGTATGCATAACTGCGAGCTAGTGATTTCATTTAACTTATCCCCAGGTGCCCGCTGTGGAAGTGCTTAGTGACTTGGTGTCGAAGATTTCTGGGGATAACGATACGGTGGCCAAACATGATGCATGAATCGACAACTGTTAAGGACTTTCGTCGACGAAAATATCGTAGGAGTTCTCCATGTAGTCTAGATGAAGGCCACTTGTTGAGTATGCAGTAGCGAGCAATCTTCAATGCATTATCCTTCTTGCTAGCTTCTTTAATGGCTTCGAATGTGACCGGGAGTCCGGAAACTGCGTCTGCCAATACTTTGTGAACCTCAGCCTCAACATCTATGGCAGCTACAAGCACCTCCTCTTCTTGTTTTGCATGCGAACCAAACAATCTTGATAGGGCATCTGTCTGTCCAAAATCCGTTGTTGGTTGATACTTTATCTTGAAATCATAGCCCAGCAGTGTAGTTGCCCATCGCTGCAGCCTGTTTGCTGTATATACAGGGATACCTTTTTTGGATTCAAAAACTGTCAGTAGCGGTTTATGGTCTGTAAGGTGAACTGTCTGCCAAACAGCATCTTGTGGAACTTTTTCACAGCAAATATAATGGAGGAGGCTTCATTCTGTATCTGACTATAGTTCCTTTCAGTCATAGTCAGCGACCTTGCAGTGTGGGCGATTGCCTTCTCAGAGCCGTCAGGGTAGGTATGTGAAATTACTGCTCCGATTCCGTAGTTCGACGCATCTGCTGCGACTATTATTGGAAGATCTGGATCATAGTGTGTAAGTAGAAGGTTTGATTATAGGAGCTGCTTTAGTTTTAGGAATGCTTCCTGGCATTCGGTTGACCAGAACCACTTGGTAAGCAATTAAGAGGAGCACGAAGGCGATACAGATCTGGAAGAAAAACGCCATAATAACTAACCATTCCCAAGAAAGAACGTAAAGTTGGTACATCCGTCGGTGGAGGCATGGACTTGATAGCTTTGACGTTTTCAGGATCACGTTTTCTTCCGTTTTTATCGATTATGAATCCTAACTAGCGGACTTGTTCCATGTACAAATCACATTTTTCAGCACGCGATCTGAACCCATAATCTGCTATGCGTCTGAGAACTGTATCCACCTTATTCTCTAAGTCAGCATAGTCTGTACTCATGATCAGTATGTCATCGAGATAGGCCGCAGTTCCAGGAATATCTTGTAACATAGTATCCATAACTTGTTGGGAGATTGAAGGGATGGTCGTTGGGAATTGTAGAGGTCCCTCGTTTCGAGTATAAGTGATAAGCGTTTCCTACATAACAATCAGCGACGACCAGATACAAAAAGTAGCATTAAAAGAGCCAAGACAATAAGCATTCAAACGACAGTTATAACATTTGGCGACGGGGTGAAAAAAATTCTGAACTTTCAATCTTCAAATTAACGAATCAAGGTCAGCCCGTAATTGGACAAAATTCAATGTAATTATTTCGAGGAATCAGCATTCGAAATTCTCGCCGGTGTCCTTCAACGACATTGATTGTTAATTAGTCATACAGTATTTTTCATTACCGTGCTGATTCAGAAAATGGCTATCTTTTCCGATCAATTACAGTTGCTATTTGAGCGACAATAGCAGCCTTTCAAAAAGAGCCAGTTGAATGTTTTAGACATTTTATGCACATGGCTGCTAGATCATCCATGTTTTGGAGATGTGACAGTTTGATAAATTAATTTCTAATTTCCATACAGAGCTGGAAAATGACTACAGAACGTATGAACGTGTTAATAAAACCCGTGATTCCCTGGTAAGCGGTAATGTAAACGAATTAGTGGCAGTCATCCATGATGCGCCCAGTGATCCAGAAATGTCCATTTCAGAGACATGCCCTGTCATGGGCTCAAATCCCATTGTCCCCGAAACACTATTTACAAACACTGGATTGTCCAGCTCACAGAAAGACGATGTCTTATTAAATGCTCATGAAATTACTGCAGTACCCGCCCACAAAAAAACGGAAAATGAATCAAGCATCGTAATGAGGACAGTTGCATTGAATGGAGCTCATCATTCTACGACAACAGTTTCTGATTAATGTACTGATTGGGGTTCTCTAGTTGTTTTACCAGATATGAGTTATCTCAAAGACTCATAAGCTTTTGATCAAATTTCTTACAAAAATGAAAATTTTTGGAGTCATCAAACGATGATCAAGAACCTAATAAAATTTTGATAGATGCTGGTTATTCTGGTGATCGACTATCTACTAATGAGATTGTCAAGAAATTCGATGACAATGTTTCAGAAAAATCAAACTTTGATGACCCCATACCTAGTGTCGCTGATCCTCACCATCTAGTCAGTTCTAGTGGAGTCTCTACACAATGCGGGGAATATGCTTTAAATAGAGTCAAAGTAACTGTAACTTGGGAATATGATGGTCCAACATTATTTCGTGGCGGGAGGATGAAGTCATAAAATTTAAAGATGGATCTCAGCATAGAGTCTTCAAAAAAAGAAGGGGAGGTGATATGATGGAAAGAAAAGTCAATTTCCGATTGATTTTGTGAATGACTTTTATTTCGTAGGTTTTCAGAATCCTTTTGCATTTCTCACATATAGTGGAACTATTTATTTTACGATTTTTAGGAATGATTTTATACTGGTGTATCGATTTCTAGATACTTCACTGATGATTTTGTGTTCTATTCATGGAACTTAAAAGTTCCAGATTCCGAACATCTGTAGAACTTCGGATTTGAAGTCCGAAGGAACAAGTTAGCTAGGACAAAATAGCAGTTTATTGGTGTTTAATTTCAATTTACATACTGGCTATATCCAGTTCATAATTAGTTATTTACTCTAACGATGATTAATACATGTGTAAATGTGACACTGTATTCTTCTGATTATTGTGTTTTATTTACTGTTATTTATATCATGTTTGTCAAAAGAGTTGAATAATGCTCATGCACTCAGACCGAACGTGGTGATTCTCTTCAGGATCAACTCCCCTAACCCAAAGGTTTAGTTCACAAAGTAGTGAAATGGTGTCTGACGTCTCGGTCGGATTGTAGGTAGTGATTCAAATGGGTTCATATACCATTCGCTTCCATAGGATTCTGCAACCCACGCACTCTACTGATTTGGAATTTTAATTTTCCAATTCCTTTAGATGGATCTTTCTAATCCATTAACCGTGTCCACGTGACATTCGTAAATATGACAAATAATTTTGAAGGAATTGATCCACTTGTTCTGCTTCATTACAATCTCAAAAGATAAATATTACCTGTTTAATTCAAGTGTTTTCATTTGATCTTATGCCACACTTCTATTCCTTCTAGTCCCAGCCCCGTGTTTACGTTTATTTTCCAACACACACAGCACCTCGTATGTGGTGGAATTTGTTTTCTGTCTAAATAAACTTGAGTGGCGAGACTATAATTTATGAACGGACCAATCAGGTATGGGATAACAGGTCTCGGATTTTGGCGCGAAATTCGTTCATCAATTTGGCAAAATAGGCTTTTGATATTATAATTGATGTCAGTTCATGATAAAAGCCCTGAATATTGTTCCTAACCTTAAATTCCAACTATAAATCACAATTTGAAGTCCGCACACAGGTTTATAACCCTCATTTTGTCCTAGTTATTAGGTGGACACTCACAAGGTCACTTTAGCGTCGCTCAAAGGTTGTCCATAAATTATAGTCTCACCACTTAAGTTACTGACTGACCGAATTTGAGAATACTTTCACCGAATGCGATTCCTGATACAGCTCTTATAAAACCGTGTTTGTCCCTCAAAGTGGCCTCGTTTAACGCTTGCATACTAATGCAGATAGAATAAAATATAAATTTGACTATATCCTTGGGAAGTCTTGACATCGATGTATTCTGTATCTGAAAGACCTGTATTCAAGACTCCATCGAAGTACTACATATTTGTTCTCAATTTGTCACTTAGAAGTAAGTATTCTCGTACTGGTATATAAGTGTGTAAGTCTGACGTTTGTTTTGGAGTATCCATATGGACTGTAACTATGTCATTTTGTGGATCAGGCCTATTTATTATTCAGTGGTCACCAAACATCTTGTTGTAAATGGACTGATGTAACCTTTTTTCAGCCTGGACACTAGTATAAGTCCACTATCCCTTAAATAAGCAGTGTGATTTCGAGCCTAGTAACTCATACACTTAATACAGTTCCGTGAATTCGGACCATATTTTGTATGATCTTGTGATACCTTTAAACAGCTACCAAAACTGGTTTGTATATTCGAGTTTTTAAAAGCTGACTTTTGAAATTACTAAGCTAATATATCACTGGATATTTATTTGTTCAGCCCTTGCATATCAGTGGTTTTTAGTTAGACAGATCTTCAGTAGGATTAAATTCTGTCTAGTGACCTAATCACGCAGATACCAAGGTAGCTGATGAATAACAATGTTTGTAATCAGTAGATTACTATTTTAATTAACTAAATCTTTTTGACGCGTATAATAGTTACTACAATGGTTTAGTGTTTTAAGTTGATTTTTTTCCTGAAGACTAACTTGTTCTCCCTCCTGAAAGATGGTAGTGATGATAGCAGTATTCATAATTCTCACTTCCATGTGATTGAATGTATAAGACACTTTTTTGTTGATGTGTATATTTTTTTAAAAATTATAGGCAATCGATACATATGAGAATTCCGAAAGAAACATTCTTACACTCGATCGACAAATTAAATCGCGTAAAGGTAAATTTTTCAAATCTGGTTCACTTATTTCACTTTTTTAATTTACCATATCCTTATATTGTGTAGTAGTAGTCGTAGTGGTAGAAGATGGGCTGACTTCTCAAGATCGGTCAATAAACATTAGAGAACAAGTCTACCAGGGTTTTCGATTTGATTGTTATTAATGTGTTCTGGAATGTTCTGCGATGAGGTATTCATTCGTGTACTTGTCTTGTTTAAAAAAACATCTAACCGTGTTATATGTATAACTGAATGTTTGGCACTAATATGCATCAGTTGACACTGTTAGATATGAGTCAAATCATTAATGGTGTATGTAATAAAATGTACATCGAAAGTAAAATCTGTTTATGGACAAGAGAATAAAAGATTGTGATATTTGCTGTGCAACTATCCTGTACAATCACCTGTCAGCTATCAACCAGGAAGTGTGCACCTCAATATTGTCTATTTTAAAAGGTGTCATTCTCTTCACGGAATGCGATCATATCAGGTTTTACCCAGACTATTGAGGTTCCTTCAACTTTGAACATTTGTCATTCAGTTTGAGTACCCAAGCAGTATTCCAGCCCTCATATAAATCGAATGATTTCTGTGGTGCCTCTTTTTACCAGTGTTTATGTGTTTAAATGAATAAACATTCAGTTTAGGCATGAAATAATCTTGTTTATTTTTTCTTGTTTTTCACAAAGCTGAATTATTAAAACAACGAACTGAAAATGAAAAACTAAAAAAAGAAATGGAATTATTTTTCAAAGAGATGCACGATATTTGATGATAGTAATAACAATAATCTCTCTCGCTATTCACATATATTAAGATTGTTATTAGTTTAGATTGTTTTTTCATGTAGTCCCTAAACACTGACATCGTATGTGTTAGCTTTCTTGAAAAAAAAAGAAAGCTGATTGTCTATGTCTGAAACACAGCATTGATCTATTTTAAAATCTGGTTCCTTGACGATACAATTGTCTGTCGGTAAGTTTACTTAATGCTCAGTGTTTCTTTTCAACTTTCACAAAGCAAAATGTATTTTCTGGTAATTTTCCACTTTATCAAAGAATACTACTTTACATAAAACAATCTTGTTCTCTATGAGAGTAATAATAACAATAACAACAGCAACCATAACCTTTTTTACTTCATTTCCACTCCTTAAGTGATATTCTTGTAGTTATAAGTTATTTTGTAAAACATTCTTTCCATATTATTATGATTATCGTTATTGACTTGTAAAATTATTTTTTTTTCTTTCAAATAAACAAACTTAATACCTTTTGTTGTAAGATTCAACTGTTTGAGTTCATTCCTATCTCTGTATCTAATTGGTCATATTTGCCAAATGTAAAATAAGAATTTTACACTAACAGCAATCTGTAGTCTTAAATCCTAAATTGATATATAATTTAATTTTACATTGTTAAATGACCTATATTCGTTATGTCTTTCAAGAAGGTAAACTGAATAACGAGAAACCCGGTCTTAAATGCATATGTTTGTTGTTTTGTTTGAACTGAAAAAAACCGCAAAGCGATAGTTGAAAAGTGAACTGGCGCTTCGTTGTTATTATAATCAAAGTTCAAAATTGTATTCCTAGTACGATGTGAGCTGAACAGATATATTATTGGTGTAGGAAGTGGGTTGTGAAAATTGTAGAATTTTCATGGTTTCAATCACAAACCGATCCCAGCTAGACCACAGTGGAAGCCTAGAAGCACTAGGCAACTGTATTGGTTTTATGTGGTATTCTTCAATAATGCGGATTTGAGAATCGAGTCCTAATCCTTCAGTCTCGTGTGCGAACGCTAAACCTTCAGACCACAGAAGTGTTAATGTCGTACTCCGTTGAATGGGCAATATTGCACAACTCTTCTTCTTTCGGTGGTTAACTGTCTCACTTTGATTGAACTCTGCTGGTCTCTAGCCATCTAGTGCTTCCTGGCTTCTGTGGTGATTCAGCTGAGATCAGTTAGTAACTTACCAGTCGAGTGAGAGCTTATGTCCAACTGTCATCTGTTTTTGCAACGTCAAGTGGTATCCGTTAAGGCTGTCCACTATCTCCATTTTCGTTTAACTTCATCATAGATGTACTGATGGAAATAATATTTTCGTTAACTGAATTTTCAGGCATTGATCTTGCAGGACGTCCACTTATCGACTCAGAATACGCAGATGATAAAATGCAGTCTTTTCGTGTCACTGAGCAACAATGTCAGGATGTTTGGAATTCATCTCCCCCCTCTGATAAATGTGTTGCTTCAGAAGTGACCTACGTCAACACCTGAACTAAGGGTAGGGAGTGAAGTAGTCGAACGCGTTGACAACTTCACTATTCCTGAAAGTCTGATCAGCCGTGATACTTTGATGTCTGACGAAATCTCTACACGGATTCAGAAAGCTCATTTGGCTTTGTCAACTTACGTCACCTATGGGTTGAGTATACTGCTCAGCAGTTCGTTCTGTTTTAATTTACGACTGCGAAACGTTGCTATTAAGAGTAGAAGATACTCGTAAGCTACTAGTATTTGACCACAGATACCTTAGAAACATTGGTCGCATCTTCTGGGATCACTGGGTAAGTAATAGTAAGGTTAGACACAGGGTATTGGGGAATGATTGTAAATCAGTTGATGAGGTTGTGAATCTTCATCGACTGAGACGGACTGGCCTTGTGTTGCGTATGCCTGAACACCGATTACCACGATGTGCAATGTTGGAGATGGCTGTAAGAAAGTTAGGGGCGGCCAAATCAAAACATGGCATCAGTGCTTGAATTCACTAACTTTTAGTCTGAGCTATGTTGGTAGGTGCAGACTACTTGGTTGGGGTCCACGTGACTATCGTAACGAACTGTTAGAGATTTTATGAATCCGGTGTTCATCTTGTTGTGCTAATGAGTGAGGTATGGCAACTTGGACCGATGCGCATATATACTTGGTCCTATGTTGTAGCTGACTGGCCTAAACTGTGAAGTTTTATAATTGCCTTTTCTTCGATGATACACAAATATCCCTGTGATCTGAAATAATTTGTTTGTTATGTCCACCTCTATTCGGACTACACGTGAATAACATATAAGCCTATATACATTTTTAATTGATTCCCTAATATTTTTATCCTTCACTCCAGATGTTCAACACGTGATCTACATGACATCGGAAACTGTCATTTTGTTTGCGATTGATGTAATCGTTAAGAATAGTTTTAAAATGGTCCAAAACGATCATTTGATTCTATAATTCAGGGAGATTCAGTCTTGATGTTAGATGGTAAAATATGAAGCGATATCCAATGAAAATTATCAAAAACATTGATTCAGCCTCGAATTACTGTCTTCCCGATCGGTATTAGTAAACACTATGTGGTTTGGGACTTTGTTTTCAAAGATACTTGAAACTGACGTTCACATTATCGTTTTTTCTTAGATTCCATGTAATATAAGGCTAGTATATTCATTGGATTTTTAACCACGTTCCATCTCATATCTACTTCAATATTTATCTGGTTTAATTCAGTAAGACCACATCTAAATGAGCGAGTTGGAGCACGATGGATAATAACGAGACAACACACCAAAAAGGCGATTCATCATATTAATCGAATAATTATAAGAAATTGGTAACAAATGTCAAAGGGATAAACACTAGTGGGAGTGGGCGCTTTGTTTTGTCAGTATAGGATTGTGGAGCTTGTCGAGTTTCAATGAGGTCATTAAATCATCAATGTTAGACCGTCATTGAAAATATGTTGGTCTAGCATTAAGTGGTCCATGATCTCAGTAAAATTCGTTTTGAAATAATTCATTTAGATATTGATTACATTGCAAGTGACAAAAAGCGGTAAAGTACGTGACTGAATTGCAGCTGGTTACTTGAAGTGAAAGTGTGAATGTACATAGAAAAACTAGTATTTATTTGTTCTAGAATAGATTATTTCACCAAAGTTTTGAAATAAGAGAATTATATAGAAAATCAACAAGTAACACCTTATTTTGTACACGGCACCGAGTTCTACCACACAAAATATAAAGTTGCCACAGATAGGACTAGGTAGGTACGGAAAAATGATCAAGAGAATATAAGTTCAGGCAGCTTCGCTAACATTAGTGATATATCAGTCGAATATTGATTTCCGCCCTTGTGGCTTATACAGTATTCGGAATATAGCAAACAATCCGAACAATACAACAGTGTCACTGAATTTCCCCCACCAGATACGAGTTAATTGAATGCAATAAACCTCTGGTATGTGTATGAGATGACCATGGGAGGAAGGGATTTTCTTTGAAATCATTGGGGATCTGTTCTGTCTTTCCGTCCGTTGGTAACATCGACGTCTACGTCATTACTGAATTGGATAGTGTTAGGATGTTCGGAAAAATATACCAATAATTATCAAGAATATTAAGGGTAACACAAATCACTTACTAACCAAGCAGCACCGAGACTCTTTAACGAAACTAAGAAAATATGAAACCCTGATCATAAGCAAACCAGATAAAGGAGGAGGTATAGTTCTCATGAACAAAAAGGATTACATCGAAAAAATAGAGGCTGTTGGGATATTCAGAAAAATATTCCAACAACTATCCTGTTAAGTCTAATGGTGTCCTTGGACTTTAAATGGAAATTTCCTATTGGTCAATATTTATTTCACTTGTCAAATATCGTACAAATGTTGTTTTCTATTTTATGGTACGATGTGGTCTGGTTGATTGGTATATAAATAGAGTATGTCTGGAATATAAAGATTCATAACTCAGAGGCTGAGACTTGTGTTCTGGACTCAACTGGCTGGACTAGACAGCGAAGCAGGGCCAATTGGGACTCTAGGTCGTTCGTATGTGTTTTACGTGTCACTGAATCGATCGATAAATACGCTTCACTCTAATCTGCAGTCACACGTTACAACAGATAATCTACTGAAATCACAATTCCCCGTACAGTATTTAGAAAAAATCAAGGCATTACCCAGTATTTTGTAGAGACCAACAAGATATGACGTAATCACTGACACCACTCAGACAAACTTATGGAAATTCACTGATGCTCTAAAATATCGTCTCAACTACAGTGAACTGAAAGCAGATCAGTTCGTTGCGAAATCCAGCATCACCATTTAAAAAAGAAAATTAAAGTAGGACAGCACCATTTTTTAAACTAGTCGTCGATTATGGAGGCAGATCGATAGTATACTATTTACGCACAATAACACACGATGAAAATTGTACATTTAGATATATTAATCTGTGTTATAAAGGTTGAGACTAATTAGGAACACTTTCATCTTTATTGAGTCTATAATATGTTTTATTACGTTCTTTTCGACTCTCTCAACTGTAGCGGTAAATAAATCCCCAAAATAAATAGCACTAAGTTTTTGACATTGGATGCTGACCATATGTTTTAGTGGACTCACCCAGCTGAAGGCGCTCGGTCAGGCATCCACACCAGATCACGTGTGGTAACGCCGTGCTCAACATCAACCGCAATCGCTAGCCAGATTAGATCAGAGAATTCCGATATATTGGTCATCGCTAAATATACTCTTCCGATCTCCTCGACTCTGTCTTTTGATTTCTCTGGGCGGGAACGAAATATATTAGAAGGTGTTACTGGTAGAAGCGTTGTCAAACACTGAATACCTGTGACAACAAAGCGTTCTCTTATTGCAGGATATTGAGACGGCTATGATAGAATTACTTAGACTTGTTTACGTCATTTTTATTAATTAACTTTTCTGACATTTATAGGTTACGCCAGGATGAAATAAATTCATGAAAACATGTCAGTAACAAAAGTCTAGGTGGTTTAATTCATTCGACCATTCTGAAGGACAATAGCCGAATGTTCAGGCAGCCATTAGTAGTCTTTAATATGTTCATAAGGTTTGGAAATCGCTGACCAATTTTTCATTGCAATGCTCATGAGGACACTGTCACATTTAAAATGGCTGTCAGTAGACGTTCATCATTAGTGTACTTGAACAGGTTTTTTCCGTTACATTTCAGTGGTTCATTAATGTTAAAATTAGTAAGAAAAGCGGCCTGAGATTATAAAACTCCAGTCGATTTCTTACGTTTCTCGATTTTTTATCTCTTGAACTCTGACCTTCATGGACAGTCCAACAACCAGAATAGTAGGCAAAATAACCATGACAAATATAGTTGCATTTTATTGGGACTGAAATACCGGGTGTGCTTTTCGCCCTTTGTAAGCGCCAGCCAAATATACCTGCGCTCATGGTTAAAGTTCATTCAAGGACTCGAACATGGTAATGTTCTCTAGAACCGCTATCTCATTATGCACGCGGCTACAGAGTTCAGATGGCCACTAGCTTGTGCAGTAATAGTCATGGCACTCAAGGAAGTTTTTTGTCTTTTGTAAAAGCAATACTTAGACATCACAGCATAGTTATTATCTTATGAGTTATCGATTTTATTCAGCGGTCATAATAATGACAAATTGTTAAAGACTCCAATAACATTTGTCATTTCACCAGAACTAAGAAGCTGTACTTATAATCTGGGGTTAGATTCAGTCTGGCGGCAAATAAATCATCAAAAGACATAGTTCTGTAAGTCTTAGTCGCGAATGACAGCCTGCTTGAATATCTGAGCTGCTTGTTCCTTCCATGTAGATATTTCAACAAGTTGGCTTTTTTGTTTGTTTCAACACATCATTATGTCTATTAACCGCTTAAACTAACCAGGCGCGTTTATGAAACGTTTGCAACCTGTCTCTGTACAAAGTACAAAAAAGTGAAATCAGAGACATCATGAGGGCTGACAATATGCATTAAAAAGAAGGAACATTTTTCAGATGTCCATTGCTGTGTTCCTATCATCTCAGAAAAGAAAACTTGTTGGAATACTAAGTGCTGAGAATTCTGTATTGTACTAAAAATGTAGCAGAGTCATTAGTAGCAATAATAATGATACTGACTGTAAGATGCATTTTGAATGTTTTGTGTGTTCGTGAAAATCCCTCCATGTATATACTTGTACTTTGTTCCTATTGATCCCCTTAGTTGTACATTGTTGTATTTTGATTACATTCGAATTGTTAATACTTGTATTTTTTTATCATGGTTTTTGTTTTTCTTACGCATTCACTAAGTTTGTGTTTCTTCCTGAACTGCATCTGTGTTGTTTTACTTGACACTTGTTCTTGGCGGTAGCCATATTGATTTGCTCCTCCTTTTGTGTGTGTTCTATCCAGTCAGAATAGAATAACGTTCATTTGTTGTGACTGGTAATTTTTCCTCATCTGTTATCAACTTCTTTATTTATTGTAATTTAGATTTGATTGATTGAACAATTATTGGTTGAATACCCGGGTGGTAATATTTGTTTAGGTAACGATTTACATTTAAATTTATGATGAATTATAAAACCGCTATTTGCCCGATTACTTGTTTTGATTTTGACGGGAAAGGGCGCGTGTCTAACGTACCTGGACGGCTATTCTTCTATCCACACCGTAGTTCGGATTCTACACTGACCTCACAAACCATATTGATTAGATCCTCGTTAAAAATGCTCAGCCACTCATCCTCACCATATCAACATTGTGTACTCCATGCTATGCATCCGTTACAACAATTAGTTAAGTTTGATCATGCTCCTCTAGATATACCAACATTCTCCGTAATATATCTTCGAACTCGCATATTCTTAACTTCTGATTAACTGGGTATACGATAATTTGATCGCAAATTTGTTTTTAAGCAAAGCGTTGTCAGATCATGAATACCAGTCGCGAATTCGAGGAAATCAATGGGAGCCTAAAGCAAATGAAATACTAAACTATGATATTGTGAGTTCCAGTAAATAAGACAAACTATATTATCTATCAACCAGTTTAGATAAAAATTAAACTCAACTGAATAGCTACTGAAATTTACACGTGAATATGAATATTACTATCTCGCTAATTCCTTTCAAACTAACCTTATGCCAAGGGAGATGAGGTAGTGAACTATTGGTTTTGTTCGGTCGTGCCTATGTTCCGCTTCATAGCCTCAACGTCACTATTTTTGACCTCGTTAGTGGTTGTGTCCTGTGGGATCTTCAGGTCGTCCTTGGAATCCAGGGTCATCATGCCAGTGTTGTTGTATTAGTGGATGGTTTTCTGTAGTTCTTGAATAAACAGATTACTATGACATTATTTGTTTACTTGTTCTGAACTGGCAGTTCAGTTTGGTTAATCACACCATAACTAATTCTGCCATTTTTTCCTTCAGGATTTTGCATCCCATGCACACCATTGGTTTGGAATCAGGGTGTTCAGATTCTTCTGAGTGGATCCTCGGTATCCACCAACCCGAGTAAAGCGCTGAATATTCTCATTTCGTCCTCTCGCTTTCATAAAAAACGACCTGTCACGAGAAGGCATTGATTAGGACTACCCTGGTAGTAATTGTATGCACGTGGCCACTTGATGGCATTTCGCCACTTGATAAACCCAAAATACGGTATAGAACTATGATACTCGGACGTATAAAGCCACACAGTCGCAAAATCAGAAGACAGAAGAAAGATTGAAAAGCGTTTATTAGGTAAGGACCCAAATGTAAAGAAAGTCATGGGTATTTATAGATATTGGGGTTTGTTACATCAACATTATAATTCAGCCGGTCCGTAAGGAGGTACGTTATCCACTGTCCAATGGTAGCATGCCACACTGACGTTATAAAAGGCTACATCACATTCTGATTGGATGGAAAATCTTCGAGTTCCCTGTGGCCCCTGAAGGCTTCATCCTAGTTCTCGTTCTGGACTCAACTGAACGGGATAGGAGAATAAAGGACCAATAAGGAGGCTAGGCTGCTCATACTAGTCATTGGTTTCGCACAGTGCTAAGATTGAATAAGTCGTATTTCGATTAACGAATGAATCACGTGATAACTAGCCGGATTCAAAGGCACAACAACTTCCACATTTCAGAAGCAGCACAGAATACAGTGGATACCTTGAACTTAACTAGATGATACGGACTATGCAGATAACTTGGCCATGCCATCGCACAGATAACGACAAGTGTAGGTGAAGATGGGCAGCGTAACAACAGCGTCGGTATTGATATGCTTCCACATCCATAAGGGAAAAAGCAAGATCTTGGAGTACAATACAAAATCCATCAAATTAATTATACTTAATGGCAAAGCTTACGAATACCTGGAACCTTACATGTAACTGTAAAAGTCAATGTTGGGCTTGGTAGTTTCAAATAAATCGAGTTCCGGTTAGAAAGTTAATAATAAATATATTTCTTGTTATATCCCAATGAGTGGAAAATCGTGTTTCATTACATCAAGTCACAAAATGTCAGAAATATAATTTTCTAATCACTGGGAGATAACAAAAAATGTATTTATCACTTACACGTAACTGGATAGCATTATCAGCAAACAAGGAGGGTCGGATGCAGGTGTCAAGACACGAACCCCCGAGTCAAGAGAGGCATTTCTAAAATTGAAGATTGTCTGAAACTCAAAACAATAGTCGCACAACACCAACGTCGGAATTTTCTACACCAACATTAAAACTGCCATTGTAGACACATCCACGATCACGCACCACGCAGGGCTCGAACCCAGGACCTACTGGCTTCGCGCGCGAGCACCTAACCATTAGACTACTGAGCCGGCATCCAACGGTGTTAATGTCTAACTTCAACCAATCCACGGAGTTGCGCCACCATATACCATTGTCTTCAGTGAGCTGATATCTCACAACAGCCTCGCGTGGTGCGGGATCGTGGATGCGCACCGCTGAGGAGTCCCATACTAGGACGAAACGGCCGTCCAGTGCTTCCAGGTTTTCAATGGTGGTCTAGCTTCAACTGACTCATGATTTCAATCTGTGAAAATTTCTAAAAATCTCCACAAACCCCTTCTGATAATAATCATCTGCTCACTAGTGACTGACTTCAAGAAATACTCCTGGAGTTCTAGTGGGAAGCCGTTACCAGTGGAGTACAACCAGGTCTGTTGTGAGATACCAGCTCACTGAAGACAATGGTATGTGGTGGCGCAACTTCGTGGATTGGTTGAAGTTAGACATTAACACCGCTGGATGCCGGCTCAGTGGTCTAATGGTTAAGTGCCATTGTAGAGTCAAAACCTTGAGAACTACTGCAATCATCACCAAAGACTCAAAATTATTGGTAGACAGTTGTCCATGCAAGATGCTGAAAATCAATCTTCTTGTAAATAGTCTTGTTAGTTGTATAAAAGTTAGTAACCAAATGTTCAGAAAGTGATGAAACTTACGTATGTGCTACATGATGGGAAATCGGTTGTACTCTAGTGCTTTCTGTCGGACAATTAAACTTCAGTGTGTCAATCATAGGTTGTTTTTCGTTTTCAATGCCTTCTTTTATTATTGGTCTAGTAAAAAATAAATAACAACAACAAATGTCTATTGTGAAAATTCCCATTTTGCCATTTGGTAAATAAAGAAGGAACGAATTGAGCGAAGAAATTTCTTTTCAATTGAAATTGAAAAGAAATTTCTTCGCTCAATTCGTTCCTTCTTTATTTACCAAATGTCTATTGGTTGTCAAATTTATTGTTTTGAGTAAATTAAGTGAAGAAAGAATCCGGATGATAAATCTATAAATTAATTTCAGTTTAATTATTTTATTTTCGATCGAAAGTCATGATTCACAGGAAGACGCAATAATTTGTTTTTAAAACTATAAACATTCAATAATGTTGTTATTTAAGACAGAGGTTCCCATCGTACAGTCGATCGATAGTGAAGTTAGGATAGCTCCAGTTGTCAGACTAATTTAATGACAATATGGATGAATAAGATTTTTGATAATGATAAGACCCAGTCAAGTTTGTTGCTACTCATTATATTATATCCGTGGTTTGGTATCAACAGCGTGTCAGTAAATATACAACTTAGTCAACGCCTGGATTTGTATCAGATTCATTCAGAGTAACGGTATGGTGTTTGTATGAACTAATGATTTCTTTGTACTTGTCGACTACCTGATTACGAATTCCAAATACCACACGTTCGTTTTTGATCACCTGGTTCTAATTGCCACAAATTGCACTGTTTCGGGGATTGCCAGTTCATACAATAATTCAAATACTTATAATTATCACAAATGCGTCTTCCTCTCCATCAATATTCTCTCTAGAATATCTCTTAACTAACTCAAATGCTAATCTCACGGGAAACTCAAGGGAAATTTCTATTTTCATCCACATTGTTTCTACTTTTTAAGCGTAGTAAAATTAATTTCTGTGTTTTGAGATGAGTTCCCGTTTTGTGCAGAAAAACATTCGACTGATTTATTTTAGTGAATGACAAATTTAGATGGTAGAAACTTGTCCACTTCCAAGTAGCTTACAGCTGCTAAGAAATAGGACAGAAATCGATGGCCGGATTGTTTCAGCAACCATCATTTAGACATTCGCGTGGAAAACAAAAAATAATAAGGCAGGAGTCTGATTCCAACAAAAAGGGTCATAATTAGGCAAAACAGATAACGTAAGACTGACATACTTGGAGTCTAAACCAAACACGTTTGACTTCAAGTAGTCTGTTGAATTCCAGTATGTCGGTATATTCTTTTGAGATATTTCCTTTAGTTCTTCAGGTTCCCAAACCCTATGGTCTTTCATATATGTCGTAAGATATGGATCCATGTATCTTAATATTTCTTTGTCCTTGGGATATGACACTCTGCCTGATAAACTAGCGTTTTTAGTAGACGAGATGATGTTCTTGAAGTTTAATGCTATAACATAAGTGATTTACTTTGGATGGTCCATCCTTATGATGATCTTCAATTTCAAAAGGTCGCATTGATAATGGACGCCACAGTCCACTGAGCCCATCAAATTCTAGATATCAGAGATCTCAGTACACAACCAACATGGTGATTGTATACAATTCCAGGACTCAGGTGATTCCCTTCCGATTTCAGTTTTTATTTCTAATACTAATGGATGTATTCTAGATTACACAGAGTTGGTATCCAATGCAAAATCTGACAGGCCTATAATGAGCCTTAGGAGAAGACACACAGTTGTTTACAGAAACCTAGATACCAATTTATGAACTGTCGGTTGTAGTGTTCGTATGTATTTATTATTCCTTTGTACTGGATGACCGCCCGATTTCGTATTCCAAATACTATACGTTCGTTTGTTCTCACCAAGTTCTATATGGTCTTAGCTGCGTTATTTCTGGTAGTTCTAGATTGCATGATAACTCCAATACTTCTGCTTATCACGTTTCTCTTTGTTTCTCTTTGACTAATTACGTAGAAAATTATTTGTTCACCAGTATTTCACGTTTTTGTAAAAAAATAACGGATTTCTGGGAATTACCGTACCTACTGAACTAAAAAAGAGGTGCAAAGTGAATTAATACATAAACATACGTATTGAAGGACTTTGTAGTAAGCAAATTTTCAAATCAAATAATTTGTCAGTTTTCGAGTTTTGCATCGTTCATTCCTTCGAAAGGGTCACTAGGTAAAGGCTCTCGATCAAGTACAAGCAACTAATGACGTTTGAATACTCCGCGATGCTCACTTTCTACGAGCACAAGTCTTTTTACACCGCATAAACTCCGACTGATTGATCGTTATTGTAACGTATATATATACATTATTAGCACACCTTCCCTAAGTATTTTTAATAAAAGTTACCAACGACTAAGGCGAACTCTTTAGACGGTTATACACTGACGAATTGTTTAAATAATTAGTGGAAAACGCACATGTAAGAATAGGACTGAAAATGGGATGCCAGAACATTGGTCACAGTGGTAGATGTAAACAAGAAAAGCTACAAATTATGATACAGCTAGAAAAACGGATCATATGTATTAGACCTTTTTCTTGGGTGGAGATCACTCTTGTATCATTTGAGAAAGACTTCCATCATTTCGGGAATGTCGTTGATAGGGTAGTGAGGAGCTGGATTTGAAAACTTCATTACGAAGTGTTGAGACGTATCCACAATTGGGTTCAGACTATTGAATAATCAGCTTGCCGTTTGCGTTATTTTTACGAAGTACTTAAATGATGCTGTTATCAACAAATTTTTGATATAATATAGAGTGCAAATAAAGCATAGGACTAAGATAGCTATGAGGGAACACGATATTCGGACTTATACTGAGATAGATGAGTGTAAGGCTAATAAGATTGCCATCCGGAAGGAGCAGAAGAGTTCCACATGTGCCGTGCCTAAATAAGGCCATGATTCCTGACCATTCGATTTCAGTTTAAAAACCCTGTAAAAATAATAACTTCGATTTCAGTGTCCAGTGGGGTTTATTAATTACCTATGAACTCAGTTTCAAAAAGATTTTCCTGTAGTTCATATATGACTGGAATTTCTAGACCTTCACGACGGGATATTTACTAAAGTTCGTGAATGTTGTATTGGTCATATACTAGAACGATTTACCCTTTACTCAAGCGTTTGTGAAATATTTGGCAGTTATTATCTGGTGATGCTGTTGTCTAAATCCATCAAGGCAATAATTGTAAAACCCATATGCTGAACAAAGCGTGAATAAACATGTAAATTTTTAAAAATTGAACATTTCACATCTTAGCGATTTATTAGTACGAAGAGGATTCTGAATGATGTAATACAGTTTGATATCTTAGTTTTACTTCCGTACACCAGATTAATGCAATTTTGATGCCATTGGACGATTTTACATTACGTAATAATCGAGTCACGTGTACTAAAAGTCGGTGGCCGGTGATTTCTGCATCGGGCAGTCCTGATTAATCGCCTACAGTTACTAGTTGACTTTAGATTCAGGCAACGAGTTTGATGGTTAGCTCTGCTGACTACTGTAAAAACAGTGGTACCGTAAAGCAACGGAAAGTCATTTTTCCCTAAGTATGCGAATGTTTAACAACACGATTTGCCTGGAAAATTCATTGCTTTCATACAGTCACAAGAGAGTCATTGGGGCACATTTTCTCGAATATATTCTTTGCTGAATTTTCGTTTTCTTCGCTATTGCAGTGTGTAAGGAAACTGGTAGGTAATTAGAAACTTCTTCCTTGTCACACATTTTGTGTGCTTGCATACCTACACTGTTCATTCAGAACGTTTAGTAAATTTCAGCCAATCAGTTACAACAAAACATTGTACGAAACACTATTTTACATAGTAGAGGATAAAGTTATGAACATTACAAAGTATCTATGAAACAACTGTCATCTACATAGATTTATCAACAAATATAGAGACATCAATCACAACAAGTCGGATGTAGCTACAACAAAAAATCAAAGTCCATCCACGGAGAACCATCAGATACTATCCACATTGATTTCAGTAAAGCCTTTGGCTTTATGCATCATGATGAACTCCCGATGAAGCTCTAAAATACTATAGTTTCCGGGCCTCTGCTAAAGCGTATTAAACACTTTACTTCAGGCGTCCGACAAAATAATAATAATAATATATTTCTGCATGTGCAGGTACACACCGTTTTTACAGCCATGATCTGTAAATTACAACATTTGTTGGTTCACAAAATATTTCCCAACTTATTAAGTTTATAGTTGTTATAAAGTGAAGTCGTAGAGCGCTTGCTGTAAACTATGACCTTGAGAGGACGCGTACGTCAAGTTTGTCTCAAACGTCAGAAGTTTCATAGCTGTGCTCTCAGAGCAAGATTCTGAAGAAGAAAAAAAGAGAAACAAAAGAGCGGCAAGGCACTTGGATATGAACACCAAACGTTGCTTAAGATTGTATAGTAGAACAGAAAGAGGTGTAATAAATTAGAATAAATTCATATTATGTCTTGTTAGAGTGAAATGAAGTCAGAGGCTCCATATTAGAGAATGTACTAATAAAGAACAATGAGTTGTGATGTTTAACAAGTTGGAGTAAGCTCAGATGAAGGGAAGTCAAGGTTGGTACAAGGGAAGCCGTTTATTAGAAGGGTGTGTATATAGAGGGTGAAGTGTTAAGAATACTAATGACTATATCTTTTGTTGTCTAACTTTTTTTCCTTTTTTTGTTTGTTCTATGCCAGCCACACAATCCTAGTGTAAAAGTCCGAGTTAGCATGTTATAGGTTGTCTTAATAGAATAGCTAATCCAGCAAAATATTGGAAACATGAGTCTTAGTGGTGAGCGTAGGAAGACAATCTATATCACAGATTGATTGACTTATTCTCAATCATGAGGAGCCTGATACATACAAAATGTTCTGTCCCCACAAACACGGGCTGATTGAAGTTATCGCCCTCACCAAGAGTAAAATACAAATTCAATGAATTGCATTCAGTCACTTTTCTAGGTTCTTCGCACTTCATAGGTTGTGTGATTATGATGTTGATTACGCTCAAATATGAATGCAGATATACATGCACTCTAGGTAGAGGTACACGCTATTGTGTGTTCCTCTAACTACAATCAATGTCCATCAATGGAGCAACATTTGTCAACATTTACATCAGACATGCAAACGCAAATAGTCAGATGAGGCGTCAAAGCCCTTGATACCATCTCACAATGACATTTTATGTAAAAATGAGTCCTAACCATAAGAAAAATGTTCACTTTTGTACTGATGCGGCTAAAATTTCAAGGATAAATAATTACCAACTTGTAATCGAACACGTTCACTGCAGAATAAACGACCAGAATGAGATATAAGCTGGAAAGATATGTTCAAGCTGTAAGTCCTTGTTTAACATGTGAGTTAGACATTTTGTAAAAGTAGATAGATCAACTTCCAATGCGCGCCCGAAAAAAATTGAGTAGCTCTACACATAGTGCTTTTTGAGACTTCAAGAGTAAAACATAGACGCCTAACTTATCTTACTAGCAAAGCATTTTCGAATTTCATCCCTAACTCGACATTAAAACAAGAACCAGAAAACTGAAGTTTGAAGTTTAGTTACTTCAGTTTGTACTGTTTTGGCGGCCGAACAGTTTCTTTCACTACGGCGGGCAATTGCAGGTTTCAGCATGGTTGCAAAAGTACTGTGTGTTATTTTATTTATGTTCTATAGTCCGTTCCCAAACCGAAGACGCATAAACCAGCCTCAAAGAAAAAGCAAGTCCTGAAGTTCAGTATATGCATTTCACCCGGAGTTATTGATGAAGATATAGTTAGCCCTAGTTTACTTGTATGTCAATATGACTTCTGTGAATTTCAATCTTTCAGGAAAAATATTTAAAGGAACACATAAAAGTAGATAATAAGCTTAATAATCTTGGGAAAGATGTTCACATTGAACGTGACAAATCAACCATACATGTCACCGCAAACATCCCTTTTTCGAAAAGGTGAGTTGTGAGACTTGATAATTTATATCTTCAGGTATCTTAAGTATCTGACAAAGAAATTTCTCAAACGTCACAAACTGCGAGATTTCCTTCGCGTGGTAGCGAAATCAAAGGATTCTTATGAATTTCGGTTCTTCAACTTCGAAAATGAAGATACAGACGATGAAGAGGAGAACTAATCGTTGTATGTAATAAATGTATAAGTGCCGGAACACAACTGTAATTTTTCGTAACATGTGTAAACAGCTTACATGTTCCCCTAAGAATTAGCTTATTGCTACGGAAAACTCAAATGTATAGTATAAATCCGGCTAACAAGCAGGTTGTCATTGAGTTACGATTTGTCTGTTGGTTGTCGTCAATGATAATCCCTTTGTTCTAATAATAAGACAGTATAATAACTAAGGTAATCACCATAATTTGGTTATTTTCCGAGAATCTTGCCTACACATATTTACAACGTCGAATTGGGCAGTCTTCAAAATCCAAATAGTCGAAAGAATTCTAGTCAATGTGAACATTTAT